GAAGTGAATACCTAATGTTGATATGTATGTATAAATTCATATTGGTGCATAATTTGGAGGATGACAGTTAATTATATAGTGTTGTTTTAGTAACTATGCTATGTTGGAGGATTTACTAGTTTTAGATATTGGAGCTTAACAAGGTTGTTAATTATGATTTGAATATATATAATAAATCATATGTCCATAGTATTGTAAGTATAGTGAATTAACTAAATTTATCTATGCTTGGCTTGGGTGAAATTGATACTTAAAATATTTACTCACTGTATCAATTCGTGGACTATGGTGGAGTATGTGAATGCTTGAATTTATTGTAACACTTTACATTATTGGAATTAGATTTTAGGCCGTAATGAATGCCTAATATTTATGTATATGCATTAAATTTATCTTGTGCATATTCTGGAGTGTGGTTGATGACTACTTAATATTGTATGGTCAACTGTGTTAATTGGAGGATTGTATGTACCGGTATGGGAGGGTGATATACTAGGTATGAATTATTTCAAACATTAAATTCTACCTAATTTGGAATGAGTTGGATTGATAAAAAAAAAAAAAAAAAAGGTTAAGTCCTACTTATATGGACGTATATATATGAACCGGTATGGGACGGTGTCATATTGGGGATGGCTTAGCTCAAAATACTAAGACCTACCTAAATTGGATTAAGGTATGGATTAACCATAAAGGTTAAGTCCATCATCTACATGTGTCATATCAATTGTGAATTGAAAGCCTTACTACGGTTTCAGGATGGAGTGTTTACATATATCAGACCACTACAAAGATGGCTGATATTTTGTATTGGGAGTATGGACTTTATATATATATTTTATGTGCCATGGTATGAGCCTGAGTCTCAAGACCATGGTTAGGGCGCGTATATCGCCTAGGATTGATAACTGGACATAGGTGTTGTTCCCTAGTAGGTCGAGGTACTCATGCCCGCCTTAGGGTGCGTATTTGCATGTTGCCTTCTATTCAGACTGAGACAGACCTACTGGACTAGCGAACGTCTTATAGTGTGTACTATATATACATATATGGACTACTCTAGATATTGTTGAGTCTTTCTAGGATGTATTTGCGTATCGAATTACTGTTTGGATCGTAGTAGATCAGGACTTGCATGTGGGCTTGACCCACTCTATTATTTTTCAGGTGTTCGACAGTACCAGGCGTAGAGCTTGATCGTATTGGTGCAGATACAAACACTCACTCTTCCGGTTACATAGGATTTCCTTTCTATTTTAATTTTTGGGTTTTAATTCTGTAAATTTATTTATGGATTTGGGATTAGGGGTCCACTAGGTGGATTCCCGAGTTGTACGATTTTAAATTATATTAATTTATTATTTCAAGTTTGAGAATTCTTATTTTAGATTTCTTTCAGCATATTATTAGTTTATTCTTAGTTCAGTTTTTTATTTCTGCTTGTTTACATATTAATTGTTTGGTATCCCTCGGATCTGTGCTCAGACTTGATCACCCGTGGCTTTAGAATCGAGAGGTATCACACATTTGGTTCGGACCAATCGCAATATGACTCATTGCTATAGATGTCTGGTTGAATTGTTCGAACCATTTGACTCTATGGCTTGAACCCACACCTACTTAGGTTGGGTTCATGTTGAGAGGGAGAGAGAGAATGAAAAAATTAACGAATTAAAATGATAGCAGCCTGGGTACCTATAGACAGAGTGGCGTTTTTTGGTTATTGGGTGTATTTGTTCATTTACAGACATGTTACATCCATCGCACCTTTCCATTATTAGTCTAACAACGTGACCTCTAGTTATACAAGACGTCTGTTCAGTCTATAACTACCACACCTCTTGGTTTATACCATTATACTGATATACAAACATTCTTTATACAATAATAGATGTGAATGATATACAGGGCTCTGTATGCAACAACATACCACCCTTTCACACCAGGATATTCACGTTGTCACAGATGACATTTACGTTGTTACATAGACATGTCTTCAAAGAAGACGCAATATGGCGGTGGTTGTATTTCCTAATAGACACTACGTTAAATGATGCCTTTCACGTATTCTGATCAGACAAATTTCATTCACAAATTCGAACAGAAGATCCTATGGAATTTTTGGTGGTCCATGGAGATAGTTTGTACAACAACAATGAAGATATCCTGCATCTCCATGAGTAGCTAAACATCATCTTAGGGAATTGATGTAACACTAATCGAATAACATGGTTTGATTGTTCTTAACTTTGAAATTTTTTCTGAATTATGTATATTGATTGCATGTTGTGTGTAATTAACTTAGTTGTACTAAACAACTGGGTTTTAATGTTTATAATCAATTTTAATGAAATTAATCTCTTGTCTTATAATTGATTTTGTTATAATTGAATTCAAACTTCTTTTATTGTTAGAGATTGGTGGCTAAAGGCTTCTCTTAATGGAAAGAGTAGTGATCATGCAATGATGCTTAACGAATGTGTGAATGAATGTTTTGATAATTCATGCCTAATGAAGACGAGTTGTATTACACCCTAAATTAGAGTAGTTAGGTAGACAATTCGTGCTAACCGAATATGAGTTATGGCATAGTGTTTATTCATATATATCTTCTTAATTGAATTAAAATATATTTGTAGCCACTTGGTTCCTGAATATGCATAAGTATGAATCACATAGTTGAAGCAATTGACCATGTTATAAGGCTAGTGGTGAAGTCAATACCCTAAGTCTCTTATCTCTTGATATATCTTCTAAATAGTTTAGTTTATCTTTAGTTTTTATTTTGTTTACAATTTAAAAATAGAAAACATCAAAATTATTTCTTCTCTTGAATCAAATTAGCAATTAATTTTATACTTAACAATCCTCCACAATTCTTGAAGTTCGATACCCTCAATATAACCCTATCCCATAAGGATTCGTTCTATTATGAGTGGACTTTTATTATTGACTCACATCAGATACTATACCTTCTTAGAAGGTAACCTAATTATACGAAAGAAAAAGAAGCAAACAATAGTGATAATGGTTCATGCATACATCTAGTAAGTTGACATGACTATAACATTTTATCAAAGAATTATGTCTAACAATTTAAACTCTTCTTTTGTTATTTTGTAATAATTGATCGCCCCATCAACATTGCCTCTAATGCAGTGTTTCATGAAAAAAAAAATAATAATAATAAGTAAATTAAAGTTGACCACCGCTTATCACCATGCCAATATTCTAGCGATACTAGACCTTTCCCTACTTTTTAAAGAAATGGTAGGAGTTTGAAGCTCAATTAATGCATGTGTGTAAACTAAAAAAAAAAATTGGATTATCTTCTGAATAAGATCAATTGGTCACTAAGGCCCATGTCTATAATTCTTCACAAAGGCTATAAGTTATAATTTTTTTTTGTTTGTGATAAATAAGTAGGTAAATAAAAGACAGACAGATAACATACTTACTTGGGACATAGCCAAAGACCATGCAAAGACATGCCACTGTTAGGCAAACAAAAGAAAATGATAAATGTGCAATACTCTGTTTCAATTTATTAACGCCACCAAATTCACTAAATTATAAACCACATGCTAACTATAAGTCTATACTATGACCTTATGCCACATAAATCACAATTCCACATCATTTGTGCCAAATATCACGATTTCATATTACTTACGTAATAATTATCTATAATTACATTATATCGTTATTTTATTATGTTACAATTTATCCTAAAAAAATCAGCAGCCCGTCTCTAGTGAAGCTAAACTCACATACCCTTAAATCAGCTTGTAGTAGGTGAACCACACAAAATTTCTAATTCATTTTCAAGGTCTTGTTTAATCAAATCTTTTTACAAGGGCCAATTTAAATACTACCCGATTGTTAATACTGTACACGTGCATTAAGAGACTGACTGTTGCACCACGTTGTTGTATTAGCCGTACAGGTCAATGAACAAGATTTGCAATGTTCATCTTCCTAAAATTACTTGTTACAAACCAACAATTAATTTTTGTTATTGAACCAAATTCACAATTAAATACTGCAGCAAACCTTCTTCAAAAAACATGTCCTCCTAATTGGAGAATTTCTCACCCGTACCAGTCTCACGCGACGCGAATGAGACTTAAATAATAGACTTGCACAATAGAGAAAATTTGAACTCACACTTAATACACTCAATATGATTCTTCTGGTAATTGAAGATCCAGCCTATCATTCAGCTACACATTGTTGACTGACAAAAGACTTCAAATTTGGAACCACAAAGAAGTGCCTCCAGACCTTCCAAACAAAATTTTATTGTTTTAGAAATGTTAGGACTAAATTTAAAGAAGCACTGTTTTATGGAAAGAGATATGAAAAAAAAAATAGATAAAAAGAGCACAAAACTATTCCACAAGTAAAATTTCCTACTAGTTTAAATTTAAATCACATGAAGATGAAGAGACCGCACACTCATTAAGAAAGATTATATAACTTAAATTTCAATTACAAATAACTTGGATGATGGATGACAAAAAAAAATAAAAAATCAGTGTGTTTAATTTTATTTTATTTTTTTCTTATATTTGAATATGAATTCAAGTAAATAGGTGAAATTAAAAATAAAATTAAAAAATTGCTTTTCCAAAATTCACAGTTTTATACAATTTGATAGAGAACCATTATGATGAAGTAGATGAAAATAAACAACAAATAGACGTTACTAGATAAAGTGATTAGTGTTTTTAGCACAAAATAATGCCAAAAAGGTACTTATAAAATTGGAAAAATTAACTAAATCACATGAATTCATCATATCAAACCTAAAAACCAATTCACGACATCAAATCATCTACCTCAGGAAAAAATAAATAAATAAAAGATCAAAACAGATTTAGAAATCAAAATCAAAATCAACGTCATCGAAGCCATCTTCATACCCAGCATCTCCGATATCTGACACCATATCTCCGACAATCAACCCTCCGATCAACAGCTCCAAATCCCGTCCCAAACTAATCCTTTTTTTTCTTAGGTTTCTGCACTTGTGGTTGTGGATACCCATATCCCGCCATCGCCGACACCGGATACGCCTGCGGCGGTGGCGGATATCCGTAACCCCCCGCTGCTTGCTGCGGTGGATAAGTATAAGGTGGCGGTGGATACGCCATCGCCACCCCAGCAGGCTGCGCGACAGTGGTGCTCACACTGATATTTGGTGGATGCGCCGTCACAGGCTCCTGACCCTTCGCCGGCGCCGCCGCACCGGCCTTACTTGAATCAACAGACGGTGGATACGCCGTCACAGTCTCATGAGCTTTCGCTGGCGCCGCAGTATGCGGCTGCGTAAACTTCCCATCGAACTTGTACGAGAATTTCAATGTACCTTTAGGCTCTTTGGGGGGTTTCTGGACCGGGTACTCGACGACGCGTTCGGAGGTGGTGTTGCCGGCGAGGAGGTCTGGCAGCGGGACGGAGACGTAGCCGATGTCTTTATCGCCGAGGACGCGATCTGACCGGAGTGTGAAGGTTAGGCAGAGGTCGGGCTTTTGCAAGGCTGATTCGGCGACGGAGAAGTTCATGTGGTGGTTCCACTTGGGGTTTGTTCCGCCGTGCTTGTCGGCGCGAATCAGTTTGCGGACCGGAGTGTGAAGGTTAGGCAGAGGTCGGGCTTTTGCAAGGCTGATTCGGCGACGGAGAAGTTCATGTGGTGGTTCCACTTGGGGTTTGTTCCGCCGTGCTCGTCGGCGCGGGTCAGTTTGCGGACGCCGGAGATCGACGCCACCACGTAGACGTCCATCTTGGTCACAAGATTCACATCATTGAGTCCTTCGGCGGATATAATTGTGATGTCTAAAGTCCGGTACTCCATGTCTGTGTTATGCGATTGAGCAATTGATCGAAGAATCAAGATTGCGTGTGTATAATAGGAACCGAAAAGACGATATAGTGTGTGTCTGTGTGTGTGGTGGATTTATGGACTAAATATTTAACACACAGTGCGGTGTGTGTTCATATAGAGGAGGCCAGGGTTTCTTGTTTTACAGGCAAGGAAAGTTTAGTGAATAATCCTTCCAAAAATTGGAATTTAGTAAAGATTCAGGAAGCTACTGAGAATATCACTTTATGGAAAGTGAATAATTTTTTAATTTTGTTTTTTCGTCCATTTATGGTAACTTTCCATCTTCATATTTCCATATCCCAAACTAGTTTCGTTTTTTACTTCCTATCGGTTTACTTTCCATCTCATAATTCTTCACCAAAGCGTCTTTTCTTATTTCAAATTTTGCAAAATAAAAATCTATTTAAATTTTTATAGATTGAACTTTGTAGTCAATCCTCTCCTAAATTTGGCTCGACTCCCCATAACCATTAAGGGGTTATGAGTTACTTGTAATATCAGTATTGCACTTTGTTACATGTAAAATAATGAAATTAGCCCTATATTTTATACAAACTTCTTGTTATTATTGCCCCCAAATCACAAATGATTACCATTATCATATAGTTCCAATTAACATAATTAGTAATCTTTATCCTCCTAAAACCACTTGTAACACAAACTAACAATTTTTGTTAAATAACATTTTTAATTTAACAAATTTAGAAGATACTTATCCAAAGGAAATTTTGCTTAATGGTATAATTTTTGGACGTGTGATAGCCAAGTGGTAGGACATGTGTTACTTGTGGTCAAAGGCCAGGTTCGGATCCCCCTCCATAACTCATCAGCCATCAGATAATTAGTTGCTTGCCTCAATTACTAGGTGCATTAGTGTTTAATGTAAAAAAAAAAAATTTAAAGACCAAAGAAGTGGTTATTGACATTCCAAACAAAATTATATTGTTTTAGAAGTAACAACTTAGGGGACATTCCATCCAAGATGAGTCTTGCAACCCTAGTTTATAATGTCTGGAATGAACGCAATCGCAGGATTTTCCAAAAGAAGTCTCTATCAGCACCATAAGACTTTACAAACAATTTGATCGAAGTTGCTATCCTCCACAATCTCGGATTAATTCTTTCAACAGTATTGCAGAGGAATGGGAAATACCCGACCGGAGGCGAAGCTTCGCCCCTGATCTTGCTTCCTGAAATCATTGTGATTTGGTTGGAGTTCATCTTGGACTTGGGCCCTATGTTTGGGTTCTCTCTGGCCTGTTCTGTTTTTTTTGATTGCTTGTTACCTTAGGCCTCTTTTCTTTTAATATATTTTAATTTACCTTTCAAGAAAAAACTTGGGGTAGATTTTAACGAAGCATTACTTTATGAAAAGACAGATGAAAAATACACAGACAATAAATACACAAATTATTCTCATACAAAGCAAAAATTCCTTTGGTTTAAAATATAAATAAGTTAGATGGATGAATAAAATATTTAATGCGTGTTGCCGAACTTTCCTAAAAAATTGGAGAAATAAAAAAATAACAATAATAATAATAATATTTTTTTGAACATTAATTTAATACTATACAATTGGGACGAAGGTAGATAAACAATTCACATGGATGATGAATCACATGACATGGCACAAAAATAGAATTGATTGGCAATTTTGGATGAGAATAATTCCAAGAAAGAAAAACACTGTCCATTGAAAAATTAACTAAATCACATGATCACATGAGTTCATATTACCAATATTCACACATCGAATCACTACCTCAGAGGGGAAAAAAATCAAAAAAATAAAAAAATATTTAGAAATCAAATCCACCATCAAAACCAGCATCATCAAAGCCACCATCATAGGAACCCATATCGCCGGCATCTGACAGCATATCTCCGACCAGCAAGCCTCCGAGCAAACCAGCTCCCAATCCCATCCCAAAGTTATTCTTCTTCTTCTTAGGCTTCTGCACTTGTGGCTGTGCATACCCATACCCCCCCGCCATCGGTGGGGCGGGATATGCCTGTGGCGGTGGCGGATATCCGTAACCCGCCGTATGCGGCGGATAAGCATAGGCCGGAGGTGGATTGTACGCCATCGCCACCCCAGCAGGAGGCGGCGCACCGGTGGTGTTCGAACCCATATTTGGTGGAAACGCCTGCACAGGCTCCTGACCTTTCACCGGCACCGCCGCTCCGGCCGTACTTGCACCGCCATACGGTGGGTACGCCATCGCCGTACCGGCCTTACTTGGATCAACATACGGTGGATATGCCGTCACATACTCGTGAACTTTCTCCGGCGCCGCCGCACCGGCCTTACTTGGATCAACATACGGTGGATACGCCGTCACAGGCTCGTGAACTTTTGCCGGCGCGGCCGTGGACGGATGAGTAATATTCCCATCGAACTTGAACGAAAATTTCAATGTACCTTTAGGCCTTCCGGAGGGTTTCTGGACTTGGTACTCGACGATACGTTCGGTATCGGTGTAGCCGCCGGCGAGGAGGTCTCTCAGGGGAACGGAAACGTAGCCGATGTCCTTGTCGCCGAGGACGCGATCTGACCGGATTTGGAAGAGGAGGCAGAGGTGGGGCTTGTTCACGGCGGATTCGGCGACGGAGAACTGCATGCGGTGGTTCCACTTGGGGAACGTTCCACCGCGTTTGTCGACGGGGGTCATTTTCCGGACGCCGGAGATCGACGCCACCACGTAGACGTCCATCTTGGACACGAGATTCACATCGTTGAGGCCTTCGGCGGAGATAATTGTGATATCTATACTACGGTACTCCATGTCCGATTGAAGAATCAAGATTAAACAATTGATCGATGAACCAAGATTGGATGGGTATACAATAATAGATATATATATATATTGAGGAACTGAAAAGACGATGATATATATTGATTGTGTGTGTGAGGATTTCTCGAGAATAGGATCAATGGAACGAACTTTATACATTATATGAGTGTTGTGTGGGTATATATATATAGAGAGAGAAAGTGGGTGTGACGTGTTTAGGAGTGTTTCTTACACGCGTTATTGTACGTGTTTGTATCCGCGTGAGGTAATGCATATCAGGAATGTAACCGTTTGGGAAGCTACAGAGAACCAGCACTTTACCAATTTTAATTCACTACTGTGTGTGTTTACACGAGTGTGTGTGGAAAAATTGAAGCCATCCGATGGCATTTATGACAATTACCCTTTGTGGATGATTCTAGAAATATTTCTGTAATTAGTTTTTCTCATTATTAAAAATTATTTTTATCAGTTTTTTTAAAAATTTAATTTTATCTTCACAAAAAAAATATATACTTGATATTCATTCTATATCGAACTATGCAACACTACCCAATAGTTTGAGTTTTTGAGTAAATGGACAAACGTCTACTCGTTACAGTTGGTATCAGAGTCAGACTCAATCCTTGATCAGGTATCACGCTAAGCGCCCAGCCCAGAAAGTGTCCGAATGAACACCCCGAATAGGCAATAATGAGGGCGTTGCGAGTTTGGATAGGGGAGAATGTAAAAAGGGTTATTTGTATCTTTTGCCTTGCATAATACTTAGAAGTTACTTTCTCTCTTTACCTTTTCTTTCGCCTCTCTCTGACCCTCAACCGCCTACCTTTCATCTTCTCTCTTCTGCTCCCCACTCCTAGGGGGGCGATCATTGCCTCCCACCTCTCAATAAACTCAGCGTGGTGTAATAAGTTCGCTTGGTGGGTGGGTCTCACGCCGTTTTGCTGTTATTTTATTAGATCTGCTTCTAGTTGGCTTGCTTTTGGCTCAACATGGTGGATTTGGTGTTTTTGTCTTCCGCTAGATCTCTGATTTATGTCGGGTTTTGGTATTCCCACTTTTTTGTGCGTGGTTTGGGTGGTTTTTCTCCTAGTCGGCGGGGCCTTGTGGATGCAGCTTTGGAGTTGTTGCCTTGATGATGGCCTGACCTTTGGGTCACTCCTGTTGATGCTCTTCTCCTTAGGTGGTCCGCTGGTGTGCTTTGGCTTGTTTCTTAATAAATCAGAGGCCTGTTCTTCAGTTTTTATTGTATTGCTTCTTGATTTATTTGCCTTTGTACGGTATTTATGACTGTATTTGTAGATGCCGTATGGCATAGCTGTTTTTCTTGCCACTATAAATAATAATAATAATAATAAAATAAATAAATAAACTGCAACTCTTTTATCAATTTTGATTTTTAACTTTCAATGAATCCAAAAATAAGTTCTATTGCCCACCTTTTTTTTTATTTTTTTATTTTTTTTTTTATATATATTCATAAAATATTCTCACGGTTACAGTATATATTTATATTTATTATTAAGTGATCAGCATGGGAGATCATTAATAGCCCATGTAAATAAAAAATTTAGGATGAAGTGATACGCATAATATTTTATGGCCATTATATTTTTTAGATTTTTGAATTAGTTTCATACACCACAAAATTTTTAAAAAAGCGATGACATGGCATGCCATAATATTAAGCATATTTATGATTTATTAAATGATTTATTTTTCAAAACATATCTTACTAGATACTCCATTATATATTTAGTTCAAGTGATTATGAAAAGGGACTATAGTAATGAGGTTGATGAACGAGCTTGGTAAGTGAACAATTTAAAACATAAAATTAAGCTCGATTCATTCGAAATTTGGGCGACCTAAATTCAAGTTCAAAAAGATGTTGATGAGCCAAATCAAAATTCTTCCTTTTAAGCTTGTCAAAATTTCAAGTCGAAAATTTAAAAGTTTTTGTAATCAAGTACTCAGTGAAAGAATGAAGCAAGGATACGTGTGATTATTCTAAAAGTCTTGTTCCATTTTAAAAAACTCAAAGTATCTAGATTTGAATTTATCAAATTCTTTTTATAAATTTCAAAAATTCTTCCATATTAATTATATAAAATTTTAGTACTTATCTACTCATCAAAGAATTTATTCATATTTATTTTATTGGGTTGGGTAAACCAAACCCAACTTACTCAACCTTAGCCCAGCCCGACTTTTTATTTGTTTGGACAACTATTTTTACAATAAGAGTTGGGTTTGAGTTGAAAAATCTAAACTCGAATTTAATTAGAGTTGGGCTTAGGTTGAAGTGTTAGCAACCCGAACCAACTCGAACCCGAATTTCAATATAATTTTCATATATATTTTTACTTTTAAATACATTATATATAATATTTAAATTATGATTACATTTTTTTTTTTTTTTAAACTTTTTTTTTTGTTAAATCTTAACTTATTGTATGTTAACATTTTGGAGAATGAATTTTATAAAAATTTGTTCGTAATTTATTAAAAATTTACAAAAAAAAAAAAAAAAAAACGTCTTTAAACTTTTTCTTGGTTAAAAGTAATTTTATTTAAAAATAATTTAAGATCATATTAAATTTTCGGTGTAAGAATTAGTTATATGAGTAATCCGAATTAACACGAAAGCTAAATCCGAATTAAAATTTAGAAGTATGAGTTGAGCTTATGTTGAATAATTAATGTTGAAGATATGATTAGAATTAAATTTGAGTTTAACATCTCTCTGATGAGTTAGACTCAAATCCTATCTCATATTCGTTTAACTTGTCCGAATTACCCGAGAAAAGGTTTGCAGATAAAACTATTCTCAAATGTCGATAAACTTGACAAAATAACAAATAGTGCTTCAATAAAGACCAGACACCTGTGTCGGCAGGAATCTCCAATTGTGGCATGACACGTGTAAAATATGGGCCCAAGCCTAATGTGAATCACAGACAGAGAAATGGTTGGATCGGCCCAATGAAGTTCTATCAACCTGTCAGTCCAACACTCCAACTTGGAAATTCATGACGGCCCAAGAATAAGCTCAATAAAGCGTAGAAACCAAACGGAACCAAATTGGGAAAAAAAGAAAGGCCTAAGTAAAAAGAAAGGCCTAAGTAAAAATATGCGTATTATTGTTGAAATTTCATAATATCTTTCATGGTATTGAAATAAAAGAATTTTATTGTATTTTTAAATTCCTCTGTTTGTTTTTGTTTTTGGAATTACATAAATCATTAATTTTGATCATTATATTAATGAATAAATACCTATTTAATTATATATAGGAGATGCAATTAAGTATCTATATTTTAGAGAGATCGAGATATAATGTGATATATATACATATATATATATATATAATTTGATATGCATGATGATTGAAATTTTAATAGTCAATAAAGATATTATATAAAACTTAAAAAATGGACTACAACTTTCTAAATAATTAATTTCCTTATATTTTAAAATGAGTTTCAATATTATATTTGATATATGGATAGTCACACTCAAGTAAGTAATAGGTTTTTATTTGTCGGCTAAATAGCAATACTCTTAAGGTATATAACCGAAAATAGAAACTAAAACCCTAGTCAAATAAATTCTCGAGCAGGAGTAAACCTAAACAAGAACAACAACAATCAGTAACATCCGAGCAACCACCATCACAGCAACCAACATCGCAGCAACCAGTATCACAATAACCAACATCGCAGCAACCAGTATCACAATAACCAACATCGCAGCAACCAGCATCACAACAACCAGCATCACCGTCTTCGACAACACAACAACAGAAACAACTATCATCATCATCACTATTCTTCTTCTTCTGCTTACCACTCTGCTTAAACCCACGGGAAGTCGCCGCAGCCTGCGACCCTGGTGGATCACCAGACGCCACCGGATACGTCACTGGTGGCGCAGCAAATATTTCGCCCAACTTGTAAGAGAATTTCAGATTGCCCTTGATTTTACCGGAGCGCTTTCGTACCTGATACTCCACAGTGCGTTCAGCGGAGGAGTTGTCGGCGAGGAGTTCTTTGACTGGGACGGAGACGGAGCCGATTTTTCGGTGGCCGAGGAAGCCGCGGTCGGAGCGGAGTTTGAAGAGGAGGAAGAGGTCAGTGGGGTTGGCCAATATGACCTCGGCGACGGAGAACGTCATGGGGTGGTTCCAGACGGGAGTGGTTCCGCCGCCTCTGTGGATGTTGGTCACGTATTTGGTTTTCCGGCCATCGTTGATTGACACCACCACGTCAACGTCCATCTTGGAGAACATATTGATGTCTGGGAGGCCATCGGCGGAGATGATTGTGATGTGTAGAGGACGATACTCCATGTTTTCCATGTTATCTTGCAGTTAAGCACTGCGTGTTGTGTGTGTGTGTATATATATATCTATATATATATGAGTTTTTACTACACTATAACAGCTCGGGCGTGCTTACCAAAACAACATAAACAACCCGCGGGTAGTGTGTGTGTATATTTATATATAGGATTTTTGGGATTTGTTTCTATTTATGGAATAAGGATTTTTTTTTGCAAGGATTTATGGAATAAGGATTGTACATTACTTGATGGGCAAGTATTGTAGAGGAGTTGTAGAGGGAGGATTACCACGAATGAGATTGAAAATTACCATAAATCTCTTTTATACAAAATTAGTTTAAAAGACTATCCATACCAACATCAACATGAACTCCTCATAAGTTCTATCCACGAGAGAGATTTTTGCCATTCGTAAGGCTAATACTGTCATATATTTTGCTATTTATTCAAACATTCACCTCATAAATCTTTTCTTCTTCGTGGTAAAAGACTATCCATACCAACTTGAAATTTCTTTGCGGAAATTTTTTCTGAAAAAAAAAAAAAAAAATGGAAACCCCAATTTTTTTTTTTTATTTCTTAAATTGTTTATGAACTTACAATAATGTATTTTTTTTAATAGTAAATTTCATACTATTTAAATTTTTGAACAAAATTTGTTTTCTTTTTATTTCTCTTTCCTTCGCTGCACTATTTTTTTACTTTAATTTTTTCTATTAATTTCATACGACCAAACCGAACCTGAAACCTTGATTGTGGAGCTTAAAGAAATGGACAATACTTGGGGTTCTCTTCTCGAATGATAAAGTTCATCCTCCTA